CGTCTCGGCAACGGTACGCGACTGTATGTGTGAAAATCCTTACAGTGTGCGTGCATATTTTGTGTGTGCAATAATTGAACTTATCCAGCGCCATACCACACCAATAGAAGCTTATCGTTAACATATCGTCAATATTGATGCAATAAAACAGTACACATGGTACAACACATGTCATGACCGTGACAATGCCTTTCGTGCATCTTCACTCGCTTTCCGAGCACCTGCAAGTGACGGCCGAGTGCCACGAGCCGTCATGCCTGCAGCGTGAAGTTGCTTTCCCTGCTTGGCATTGTTCGCAGCTGCTACGACGCGCAAGAGGTTGCCGGTCCCTGAACGTTTCGTTGTCCGAAAAGTTCCAGGAGCTATCGCTCGTTCACGTTCAATGCGTTTGAGGAAAGGACTCGGTAAATTTTCTTCATCAGAAAGGTCATATTCCACCGGTACAGCGGGTGCTGTCTTTGTAGTCATACAATCATCTGTAGACTCTGTTCGTGAGGTTGTTGACTTCGAGGCTCGTGATGTGGATGCGAATCCTGTAGGGTCGGAAGCAGATGCTGGTAGAGTCGCAGTTCTCCGGAGAGGTGCACGTCGAACAGATCCTCGGATGGACGGCTTGCGTAGACGTGAGGGGGGGACAACATTCGGGTCTCTTGATGATGAGGCTGAGGCAGTCATCTCGGGACTTGTTCGTTCTCGTTTCGACGGGGAAGTCGGCAAGTCGGCGTAACCTTCCCCGTCTTCTGCATCGGAGCTCTCAGCCCCCTCGTCAAAGTCAAATATCTTGGCGAACTCGATATTCACTTTTGGTGATTTGACGAAAAGCTTAACAAGCTGAGCTGGAGTAGGTGTTACTAATGGTTCGCCAGTGTCTGTCAGGATGACACCTTTCATCGCTGAAAACGGTACGACAGGTTTGACGGTACGGTTGATCGGTGTTTCGAGCGTCATGGTCGTGTTCATGAAGGAAACGTCCTGCGACCGCCGTTGGGCAGACCGCAGGCGGCTGTCTTGAGTCATCTGCGCGAGAGGTGCGAGGAGGTTTTTCACTTCTTCTAGGGGCGTCTTGTCTTTACGTCCTATAGCGCAATCAGGAACTGGAAAGTGTGCACAACATCTTCCGAACCTTTAGCTTCGTTTGCAGCCTTCTCTTCTACTGCTTTCATCCTCACTTCTAAATCTTGCCTTGCTTCGTCCAGCTTCCCCTGCTCTGCCTCGAGCTCTTCTTCCCTCCCTCGAACCCAATTCACCTTGTCTTCTAGTTCCTTCATCATCCCTGCCCTTATCTCCTGCTCTCTTGTTGTCCACCACGCAAATAGCTCCTGATCACGCTGGCGCACATGTTGTTCAAGCTCTTCCTCACGTAGCGCCATCACTTCCTCCATACGTTTTCGCACATCACGCAGCCGTTGTTCTGAGAGGGCCTCTGCCTGTCCCAAGAGCTCGCGGAGTCGGACAATTTCGTGGTCTTTTTCGGATACAATGGATGCTAGCCGTGCTTCCCGTTCTGCAAGGGCTGCCTCGCGGGCAGCGACTTCTCGCTCTTTCGTAACAACAGCTACTTTGTGTGATTTCACTGTAGTGAGCCTGTAAAAGCAATTCAGAGTGGTTCGTGAGTCCTGCGACAAAAACCAACATCTTTTCAGTCTCTGAAACTTTGAAAACGAGCTCTAAGCGCTCGTGTTGGAGAAGTTGAGCTGCCGAAGGCCTCATCGCGGGCTGCAAGGGATGTTGAATAAGTAAGACGACACAAAGACTGTAGTGTGCACCCCCGTATGATATGATACTTACATTAAGGCTCAACATTGCTTTGATGACACTTGACAGCGCCTGGCTGTACCCTTT